GGCTAAGTGGCCCCCCCTGCTGCCCAAAGTCTTGCACAACCTGGGAGCGGCGCTGAACTCCATGGGCCAGTTCAGGTCCGCCGTGGACTACCACAGGCTGGCCGCTGGACTGTACGGTGAGGCGCACACCTGCGGCTCACCTGTTTAAGCAGTTCACCTTTGACCCTCACACACACTTGCCACATCTGTGACCTTTAATCAGGAGTCTGACAGCAAAATCAGTTTAGCTATAACAATGCTCTGTGTTTGTGTACAGGCTCTCAGGGTTGCCGTGGCGACCAGGCTCGGTGTTTCAGTAACCTTGCGTTTGCCTTCAGTCGGATCGGCGAGGAAGAGGAAGCAGCAGAGAGCTTAATCCTCGCCCTACAGGGATTCAGAGACACAGGTAACATCAGTACCGTCTATGTACGTCGGACAGGTGAGACCCCTGCTCACGTGTGTGTGTGTGTGTGTGTGTGTAGGGGACTACCTGGCACAGGCTCAGGTGTGCGAGGTGCTGGCTGAGTGTTACCTGGTGCAGAGGAAGCAACACAAAGCGGTTCAGCTCTACAAACAGGCTCTGAGTGCGCTCTCTCACTGCCAGGTAGGTACGGTGGTAATGTGAGGTCAGCACGAGGGTGTACTCACCTGTTGGAGGTTGTTTGATCAGTGAGAGCGATCAGAGCATGAAAGAGTCGTGTCTCTGTTCAAACTGTCGATGCAAACTTTATTCATACAGCATTTCATCACACACATCAACTCGACACACTTCACACGAAACAAAACTACACAAAAAACACAGACACACACTCGGAGCCGTTCAAATATCTGCCGCTGAGCTGAGCAGGTCACAGCTGTATCGGGAACCAGAGGATGGATTTAAAGGTCATTCTGTGCTGACCTGAGCTGATGCAGGGACTTCAGATTTCTGCGTACCCGTGAGGACGTTGTGCTGCTAAGAAAGCCTTACAACTATCTGACCTACTAAAAGCTTGGACCTCGGGTCAGAGTCAGTTTGATAGAAGTCCATTAAGATCTCTGTCAGATGATACACGGGAGCATCAAACCTCGTCTTCTTCACTTTCAGGACAGCGGCGGCATCCAGGACCAACTGGTGGAGCGACTGACTGCCACGCTGCAGCAGAGTCTGACCGTCAGTCCTCAGGTCTTACCACAACACCCATTCACTAAACCCATCAGTGCTTATAAAGCCCAATAACCTCAGTTTGATCTGAATTAAGAAGCAGAAAGTTAGTGGCCATCCAGGTCTTTATGTCTTTAAGACATTCCTGCAGTTTAA